ATACAAATTATTAGGCAAATGAGATCCAATCTGTCTCATTTTTCAAAATTAAAATACACTATTTTCATAAAATTATGTACCTTTTAGGTTAAATTAAATCATCTACTTTTCAAAACTATAAATTAAATTTTCAAATCATCAAAAAGTTGACCGATAATGGTATCAGAGCCACGTCGAATCTTTCTGGTCTGAATCTTTCGTCGTCTTGACCAGCCTTTGGGAATTGTTCACCTTCATGTTTGACTCGAGCTCATTCGATTTTTGCCAGCTGCTTCCTACGACTTTGACGACTTCGACTGCTTCTTCCGCTTCGGCTTTGTTTGCCTCGACTTCGGATTCTTCATCGCACTCAAAGATTGAAGGCTTCGACTTCGACACTTTTTAGATTGACGGCTTCGGTATCGATAAACCCTATGTCTTCGGTTTCGACACTCATGACTCTAGGATTGTTATCCTTGACTTTGATTTCTTCTCCCTAATCTCGCCTCCAGGAAGTAAGTCTCACCGATTTTGTTGGTTCCCGCGTCTTTGTCTATTCATTTGGTTTGTTAGACCGAGCTGTTCGATCCTCTGGATTGCTTCGACTGCTTGGTCTGCTTCATCTGTTCGTTTGTACATCTGTTTGTCAGCTTGGACTCAAGCGCACAATCCTTCTCTATTCCAACCCAAATATCTGCCCACTTGTCGACAATTTTATTTAAAATGTCTTCATAAATTTTAGCAATTAGATTCTCCGGAAAGAATTATGTTGAATAAGAATTTCAGCTTAAGTTGTTTTTGTAAGGGAAGGAGCTTTGGTGTCATATTGACGGGTCTTCTCAACACCTACAGAGCTTCTTGGTCAATATTAGACAAATGATGCTAATCTTGTTTCTTGGATTCTGGGATCTATTGAGACTTATATGATGAACAATTTACGATCCTTTGAGACGTCTAAATAAATGTGAGAATATTTGAAGCTCGTCTACAGCAAATTAACACTGCAAGGTGCTTTTAATTGGAACTTGATATGAAAAATTATAGTCAAGACAATCTCTCAATTGGGCAATATTATTCTGGCTTATACATCTCAACACAATGAAGTGACAAAATGGAGAAATCATCATCTATTAGATATGATGCACATATTATTGTTAGAATCTTCTGTTTCGGCTAGGTTTTGGGCTTAAGCTTTATCACCACAACTTATCTGATTAATCACTTACCATCTCAACAATTGAAGTTTGATTTTTCGGACTATTGAATTTTTGGTAAACATCCTATTTATCATATGCTACATACCTTCAGATGTGTTTGATTTTTTCATTTAACTGCCCATGAACGTCATAAGTCGACAACATAATCCGTTCAATTTGCCTTTATGGGTTACAGTCTTAATTATAAATATTGTGTTATGATTCGATTAATAATCGATGGCGAATCTTCAGGATGTGATTTTTTTTTAACATGGATACTATTTTCAGCATCTTATTTCGACATCTGACACTGTTTTACTTCCTCACTTTGATGATTCTTCTTTTGATAAACGATTAAAGCTTGAAATTGTCGGCGCATGATGCTTGGCTCCTTCATCTTTAGTCCTTCCTGACCCTGCTCCTAAAAATGTTTCAATAATTCTTCGACGATCAACTCGACACATGCTTCCTACAAATAGATATGACTATTTTACAATTTTAACTAATACTACAATTCCTATATTTTATTCTCAGGCTGCTAAATAGACTTGTTGGGTAAAAATCATGTAAGAGGAACTTCAGACCCTTCAAGACAATCACACTTGAGATATTGTTTCATGTTCGTCAGGTGTTAAAACCATTGGTTGTAAATGAGTTTATTCTATTAAGATTCAATATGACGACTCCCTTGACAAATATAAGACAAGATTGGTAACTCTTGGCAATCGACAGGAATATGAGATTGATTATGAAGAGACATTTGCATCTGTGACTAAGATGACAATCATTCGGCTTGTTCTATCTATTGCTGCTTCTAAAGGCCGGTACTTACAACATATTGATGTTAAAAATGCATTTTTTCCTGGGGTTCTTAAGGGAGATATTCATATGACTCCTCCAGACTTGTTTTCTACACCCTCAAATGCTGTTTGTAAGCTCAAACGGCCACTTACAATTTGAAAGAGGCTCCACGGGCCTGGTTTAAAAAAAGTCGTAATACTCTTCTTAGTTTCTCTTTTATTCAAAGTCAACATGATTCTTTATTATTTTTTACCAAGACTAACAAGGGAATTGTGCTGTTATTAGTCTATGTTGATGATTTTGTCATCAAGGATCCGATACTTAATATATGTCTCAGTTATTGACTGATGTGTCTTCAGAGTTCTTTTCATATGAAAGATTTGAGGTCCTTAACCTATTTCTTAGGTCTTGAGATTCACTCTTCTCTCGCTGACATTTTTCTTCACCAACATAACTATACTAAGAAACTCATTGCTTTGGCTGGGCTCCAAGAGGGTCGTCCTGTTGATAATCTATGTGAATGTTAAATATCAACAAAATAATGATGACTTTCTATCTGATCAATTTCTGTATCGATAACTAGTTAGGAGTTTCAATTATCTAACAATTACACGTCTTGATATTTTATTTGTTGTGCAACAAGTTTGTCAATTTTTGCAATAATCTACACATTTTCATTTTGCTGCAGTTTGATGTATTGTTTGATATTTGAAAGGTACTTCTCATCGTGGTCTGTTCTTTGCTATGGAGTTTCTTATTCACTTAACAACATATAGCGATGCTGATTGGGTTGACTGTTCTAATACACATCGATCTATTACTAGTTGGTGCATGTTTCTCGTTGACTCTTTAATTTCTTGGAAAAGTAAGAAACAAGAGCGAGTGTCTAAGTTTTCTACTGAGTCTAAATATCGTTTTGTGACCTTTGCTTGTTCTGAGATCATTTGGCTTCGGGGTTTGTTGGCTGAGCATGGTTTTCTTCAACTTGAGTCTACTTCTCTTAATGCAGATAATACTAGTACTATCTAGATTACTGTTAATTCTGTTTTTCGTAAATGCATGAAACACATTGAAGTAGACTGTCATTCTGTTGGAGAAGCTTATGATAACGACATCATTTATTTCCTTATATCTCTTTTGATCTTCAAACAGCTGATATATTTACTAAAGCTTTTTTTCGGCAGCGTCATCAGTTTTTTGTTGACAAAATGATGCTTCTTGAGCAACCAACATCAATTTGAGGGGGGATATCAATCAAAATTAATTAAAATCGGGCAGAATTAATAGTTTTCTTATTTAAATTGTTGAATTAAATTATGTATATTAATTGTACATATTCTTTCCTTATAGCTGAATAGGTGGATTAGGAATATGTATTATTACAAATTATTATGTATTATTAAGATATCTAAAATAGATTATAGAGACCATTTTTTTTTTGGAATAAAAGCAAAGGGAAAAGGCATTTCAGCATATGTGAATAAAAAAGTACTAGCTCAATTCATTGTTATCGTTAGCATCTACTAGATTTTATCTACATTACTCTAAACTATTTATTTTAAATTATTATTAAGAAATCAATTTGCTCAAAAATATTGAATGTAATGGATTTTCATGTGTCCAATGAGCTATTCAAAATAATTTCATAATTTTTTTCAATTTTATGCATAATAAATCTTTTAATATCATATAGTGTTCTTAAACCTTGAATCTTTATCCTCAAAATCATAAATGTGACAAAAATGATAATTGTAAGGTTGAGATATGGTCATAAGGATAAACTGAGAAATGATTATACAAGGTAGATGGTATGCTTTTACCTATTAAAAATAAGGTATTAGAAAATAGCTATACATAGTTTTCCATGTAAAAAAGGGTAAAAGATGCACTATTTCGATGGATATATAAAGTTAATATGAAGAATATGGAAGAAGTATGAGTAGACCTTTTCATGTGGATAAAATTTGTGTGTGAAAATTAAAAAAGAATAAAATGGAATGTGCACATTCTTTCTTGTCTCACTCTCTCATCTCCTTTTAATCCTATTGAGGTGATGTTTATCGTGAGCAAAAAATAACATAAAATGGAAAGAAGATGAACACAACAATTTTATACAAATTCCTTTATTGATGGTGATATTTTTGGCCCTCATTACAGATTTCACTATGATATGATTCTGATGAATTGCAGCCTTAATTTATCCAATACAACATTACGATTTTAATTTCTTTAGAACAACATAAAGTTGACGCCCCTCTCTTTGTAAATAAAAATCCGAGGGCAGTCGAAAATACAATAAATCGTCAAAATTCTCTGGATGAAATAACTTTTTAGTAACTCCTTGGGTAGCTGACTCTTAAGTTTGCGATGGATGTTTTCATTGTTGGACAAAAAATTATGCTCCACTGCATAACAGTTTTCTGCGAAAAAGTTTTAGTCCTAGAAAAAGATTTCTTATGCAAAATATGTTAATGCTTGAGGATCCAAAGAGGCTCATAAACCCTAGATAGCAAAACAGTCTGAATGCATCTCATGTACCTCTCAATAGTCAATTTTGGAAATATTGAGTCAAGTAGGTGTACTTTGATGACTTAGTTCACCCAATTAATTGATTCATTAATGTAATGATACAAGAAAAAGTGGCAATATAAATTTTGGCTTGTTGGTCTTTAGAAGCTCCTCGCTGCTTTAATTGAGTTGTTTGGGCCAAATATAACAGTTGAAAAAAGAAACAATATCTAGCATCATTGTCTCCATCCTTGGAATTTTGAAACTCAAAAGTCAAGCTCTTGTTGGTCTTATTTCCTATGGTACAATTTCTAGTAATGATATTTTCTAAAACTAACATAAGGCTTGTGTTTTAAATATTTGTGTAAGATCCGGGTAGCATAGAGTTTGTTGAAACTTATGTTTATTCACTTTTAATCATTTTATTTTCTTACTTTTTGTAAATTCCTTTAAATGTCCTTTGACAATTAAGAAGCTTTGTATACAAAGTTTTTTTTTTAATTTAAATTTTTGCAGGCAGGGTAATTCCAGAGAGTGTAATCTACAGTTATGGAACTGTTTTATTGGATCTTTTGAGCGGGAAGCATATCCCTCCAAGTCATGTACGCTGCATTACCTAAGGCCTCTTTCCTAGAATGCATCCTTGTATATACTTGAAGTCTTTTTCATTGAAAGTTACTACAAATGTATTTCTGACTCCCTCCTTTTATCTTTGTAATGAAGCTCCAGCTGATCGCAATTCAATTATTTTTGTCAAGCTTTTTTATTCTACTTCTATTTTTTATCTTTAGGTGCTCTAGGATGTTCTAATATAATGCTGACATTTTCAATGATACATTACCAGGCATTAGATATAATAAGAGGGAAGAACATTTTAATGTTAATGGACTCATCCTTGGAGGGACAATATGCAAATGAGGATGCTACAAAACTAGTAGAACTTGCTTCAGAGTGCCTCCAGTTTGAAGCTAAGGATCGACCAAATTCCAAGTTTCTTCTTTCTGCAGTTGAGCCACTTCTGAAACAGAAAGAGGTAATGCGGTTTTAAACATTTAATTGATCTGCTTCCTCTTGTTTCTGGAAATATTTATTATGATTTATTTTTTTTATGTGCGCTATATCATAAATTTAATTTAACTATAGGTTGCCTCACTTGTTTTGATGGGCATATCGAAGGCCACTGTGGTATTACCAACATTGCTTTCTCCACTAGGAAAGGCTTGTGCAAGGATGGACCTTGTTGCTGTGCATGATATTTTACTTAAAGCAGGATACAAAGATGATGAAGGTGCAGAAAATGAGGTAGCTTAATTTTAACAGTCCTTTAGAAAAATTAAACTTTTGTTTTTTTCCTTTCCTATATAGAGCCTTGATGTGCAGTGACTTCAGGATGCTGCGTAAGATAGCCACTTTTTTGTGCTTGGAAGAGCAAAATTTTTAAGTGAAGTGGAAGTAAACTTAACTCAGAAATGTCCTTTCTACAATGGATGGAAATCTTTTTCAATGAACAACACAATCCAAGCGAATGCTAAAAAGCAGGAATCATATTGGAATGGGTAAAACTCAATTCTTGTTGGATACTATCGTGAAAATCTTAAAGGAAAAATCAATTGAGAAATTTAGGTATCAAAATTAATGCAACGCATGTGAGTTGACCATATTCCTGCTCTGCATTGATATTGTTCAGGGAGCAGCAATAAGATACTTAAGTAAATACATGCCTTTTAAACTAGCCTACTAAAAGCAATGTGCGCCTACTACGTGTCTCTATTGCTTACTTTTAATCTAAACGGTTAACATTGGAAATTAAGCTTCCAAGAGTTTACTAGTTTACCGTCCTTTTGAAACGCAGGCCTCTTGGTGCATTGGACAACAACATAATGAAGAATCAGAATGATACCGAATCATAAAGAAAACAAATTTTATTACTTAAATCAACGGGTTCACAGACAATAACTCAAAAATTAGTAAGAAAACCGACAAAAACAGTAATCTTCCATTGGGGCAGGGTAGGGAGGCAAGTGGTGGCCGATTGGAAGAGGAAGTTTGGAAATAGGCTGGGGTAATTCAGTGATTGGATAGGGAAAATAGTCGGCGGGGAACTGGTGTTTGGGTAAGGGGTGCCGGTTCCAAGAGGTAATATGGGAGATGGTAGTTGGGGCTGGAAGCGTACAATACAGGATGGAGGCCAACTAGTAGTTATGGGAGATAAGGAAGGGCATATGTGGTTGCAGTTGGACAACAACAAGGAGAAGGATTTGTGGATGTAATCACCACCTCGGAGTAGGGTACGGGCGGAGCACCATCTATCATCACATACAACCCTAACAAGGGAGAAACGTCTGATGACAAGAAATTTGAAATCAAAAAAATTGACTCTACAATATAAAAATAACAAATATTTATAATTGATAACTATGAGGCGGAGGTCCCACCCCTTGGGCGGCAACCCTAGCCCATCATCATGAACCGGCCAGCAATGCTTCCCTTATGGATGAATCAGTTCATCCCGTTACGGAGCCTCGCGTCAGTCTCCTAATGTTTGGGGAGCTTCGACCTCATATTATGAGGCTTCTGTTTACCTGTTCTTCGAGGGATGAAAGATCTTTTGCTGTTGTCCGGAAAGCACCTGTGTCTCTTTGGCGAGCGCCCTGCCTGCCAAAGCATTGAAGAAGTTTTCTCTACTTGCTAGCATATATCAAAATTGATCTACTCTTCTGGGGGTTCACTTCTGATCTAGCTCAGATCAGTTTGCCTCACATATACTGCTAAATCCTCTCAAAATAGCCTAAGGTTGGTTCGACCTGTTTTAAAGTGAGGGTAGCTTGAACATTGCCAAGCAGCAGTGGCCGTGGTGTTGAGGCATCGACCGTGATATCTTGAAATATTATATATTTACTGGCCCATGTTTGGAGCATGTTTCTCTATCTACTTTCAATGCTGTTGTTCGGAAAGGACCTATGTCTCTTTGGCAGCCGCCCTGCCTCCAAAGCATCGAAGAATTTTTCTCTACTTGCTAGCATATATCAAAATTGATCTACTCTTCTTGGGATTCACTTCTGCTCTGGCTCTGACCGGTTTGCCTCGCATATACTGCTAAATCTTCTCAAAATAGCCTAAGGTTGGTTCGACCTATCTAAAGTGAGGGTAGCTCGAACATTGTCAAGCGGTAGTGGCCATGGTGTTAAGGCATCGGCCGTGATATCTTGAAATATTATGACTCTACTGGCTCGTGTTTGGAGCTTGTTTCTCTATCTACTTTCAATGCTAAGGTCTAGACATCTCCAAGTGATCAATAAAACTGAAGCTGCACCACATTGTTAATAGTGGGCTTCAGGCCACCCCCCCTAGATAACGTGCCATGGTGTTATTCTCTTGCTCGATCAAATTACATTTCATTTGCAACTGGCCAATTTGCGTTGTGAACTCTTCCAATGTTATATAGCTCTGCGGTGGAGTCTCAAAAACATATCCGGATGGTGGTGAGGAGATAGGTATTTTATTTGCATCGCTTTTTGCATCTTTTCCCTCTTGGTAATCTTGTCATTGCCTTCTCCTTCTGCCTCTACAAGTTGTCTCACAACAAGGTGCTCTTTCCCAGTTTGATTGATGCAAGCTTCACTCTTTTATTGTTTGACACCTCTTTATACTTGAAGATCCGCTCAACTTATTTTAGCCATTCGATAAAGTTGTCTGGATCCATACCTCTATCGAACTTTGGTAGATCCACCTTTATTCTGAAGTCCCTGTGTACTTCACAACTTGCCTCCTTTGTTTGGTCTCCTCTGTTATTGGACTCGAAGGCGTCTTGGTCTTTCTTCTTCATCGCTGAAATCATCCCTAAGAAAAGAGTTAAAATTCGGGGTCACTTTCTCCTCTTTAACTTTTCCTGCCATCATAAAGGGTAAGTTCCCTCTATTTTTCATCCTCAATGTCTACTAGTCTCCACTAAAGTCGATGAATCTCTCGCTGTCTCTTTCCGTGTAGACTCAGTAATGTTTTTGCCCGGTGGCATGACTATGGTGTAGAGCTAGGAGGTAAAAGAGGGTGTAAAAAAATTATTTAGGGTTGCTGATTTTGACAATGAGCGAGGGAAAATTTGGGTTAGATCAAACATTATCTATAGTTAAAGAATAAAAAAGAAAATTTTTGGATGGACAAGGCTGATGTAATAAAACCCTAGGATATGATTTGAGTTAGACTAGCTCGGATACCAAATTATACCAGAGCTAAGCAAAACCCAATAGCAATACAGATTGTATTTCTTAAAATCAAGAACGTTACAACCAAGAACTCATAAAACAATAAGAAACCAATAAAACTCTAATATCCAATTATGACAAGGTAGGGAGGCAGGAGGTGGTCGGTTGGACGAGGAAGCTTGGACATAGGCAGGGGTAAATCAGTGATTGGATGGGGAAAATAAATGGTTGGTGTGGAATTGTTGGTTGGCTAAGAAAGAGGATGGCTGGGATAAGAGGTGCATGTTACAAGAGGTAATATTAGAGAGATGGTAGTTGATGTTGGATGCAGGGGGTGTGGGTAAGCAACATACGGCTGGGAGAAGGGAAGTATTGACGGGGGGCAAAGTGGTGCGGGAACGTCACCATCATCCTGTTGACCTCATTTTTGGGTGAGGTCTTTATTTCTCTCCTTAGAGTCTAGGGTCTAGCCTTAGGTTTTTCCTATTTGACTTGCTTAGAGGACTAGAATCCGAACCCACACCATTTAGAAAATTTGAGCCACCTCGTCACTCTCTCAAGTTTTGCATGGGCGGTCCCGAATCCTCGATATTTTGCTGAGTTGGTTAGAACTGACATATGAGACTCGAGTTGAGTTCCTACATTAATAGGAGCAACCCTTAGGGAAACCATTAGTGATTCGAGCACTCTCAGACGCCTCATTTTGCGCAAGCATCGCACTACTCATGATTTTGACTTAAATTGACTTGCCCGTCGGCGAACTCGTACAGACAAACCCAGATGACGAAACGGACCACGCGGATTTGTCCGGAAGGTCAACTTTAGCTAGGAAGGACACTCATATCACTATGGTTCCGCGCATGAGCAATTAGAAAGAAAATTGATGCACGTTTTTATTAATTAGCAGAGCGTGGGCCCGGGCTTAACCCAAGTTTAATTGGGTTTGATTCTGGCTGGACTCGGGCTGAACAAGTGTTAAACCATTTTGAATTTTAAATTTTTGAATTTCAAATTGGTCAGCTAAAGTTTTCCATTTGAGATGCATGAATGAAATTTGTTTAATTCCCCGCCTAATCTTGCGTAACGTTCACCTCAACTATACAATTCAACGGGCTTCACTTCCTGGCATTTTCATCACCTCCTCACACTCGATTCGATTCCCGTCTTCCTCTCCCGAGACTCACTTGGTCGCCTCCTCCCTGCACCGAAGCCCTCGCCCATCCTCCCTGCACCAAAGTCCTCGCCCTTCTGCCACGATACCGCTCGCCTGCTCTTCTCTCACGCTCGCCCAAAGACAAATCTTCCCCTCGACTGCTCACTCTCCCGCTCCTTCCTCCCCCTCTCTGCCTCATGCACCGAAGCCCTCGCATTCGCTTTCTTTCTTCCTCTGCTCAATCACGCTGGTCTCTTCCTCGCCAGAGACGTTCGACACCCTCTCCTCAAGTTCGAAGACTCATCTTGTTCGCCAGCTCCTCTGCTCCAGCATGCCTGCTCGCCTCTGCGAACCGAAACATTCAGCCCCGCTCCTCCTCTGCTCGATTTTGTTCCTCCTCTGCTATCCAAATTTGACTCCTCCCAAGCTCGATGCTCGCTTCCTCGCCAGAAGCATTCGCCATTGCCCTCCTTTCTCACACTCGCCCCCCCCTTGCGCGATCTCCTCCCTCACGCACCGAAACACTTGCGTTCACTTCTTTGTCTCTTCCTCGCTACACATTAGGCCCCGCTCCTATTCATTTGTAACGCTCGGCCTCCTCTCCTATCGGCTCCCTCGGCTCGCCTTCTCACCCCACCGAAATCCCACACGTATAATCCTCCTCTTTGCTGAAACCTTCGCCAGAGCTCGGGCCATTGACAACGTAACAACAGGATTGCATCTTGCAGGGAGCAACGGAGCTTTCACGTCCTTTTTCCTCTGCTCCCGTCCAAAATTTTCAACTAGTTGGTGACCATTTCTCCTCTAACAAGCTTTATTTTCGTTTTTTTTATTGCATTTGTCCTATGAATCCTTTATATCTTACGTCAATGAAGGGGGAAGATGATGCACATACATACCACACAGTTTTTATATATTCACATATCTAATACCTAAATTGCATTTTT